CAGAGAGCCCGATGTGGAGCTTGATCCCAGGACCCCGAGATCATGACCCGAGCTGAAGGCAGAGGCTTAACCCACTGAGCCACCCAGGTGCCCCAAGCTGGGACTTTCTAAACCAACTTGTGACTAAGGTGTTCCACCCTCTCAGGTAGTGTGGTACAGTAAAAAGAAAATGTGCTCTTCCTAAACCAAGTTCTACCACTTAGTTTTGCAGTCTTGAGAAGAATACTTAATCTAAGACCTATTTTCCTCTTCTGCATAATTCACGTAATAACTACCTTAAAAAAGGATTCTTATAAGAATGAAAGATAAGGCATGCAAAATGCCAAGTCCTAAATGGAGCTTTTTACAGAATTAAATGCTTTGTTATTTTTATTATTTTCTTATCTGTAAAAATGAGCAGTAAGTCTCTGAATTACTCTGAAGATTAAGGAAGATGTAAGGCACCAAACACAGTGTTACTAAGTGTTTCTTTTCATCTCCTTTTAATGGTTCTGCTATCCCCAGGGCAAAATGTGACTACTGCCACTTTCCCAATATGATCTCCTGCCACTTGACTTCCAATGTCTTCTTCAGCATAATGAATTATTAAATAGTAAGACTGCTTCTCTTCATGTCTTCCTCTCCTTCAAAGCCATATTTACAGGTACAACATTCTGTGTGAGAAAGTCTTTTACTATATATTTCAACATGCAAGTAATTATCATATTTTCAAATTTGGAATGCAATACCCATAAAGTATAAATATATGGAAGGGTTGATATGGCAGAATATTCATAAACATGAAAATCTGAAAAAATCATCAAACCATGGTTACTTACATGTTCATGCAAACATAATGAATGTGATGAAAGATATAACATCTTGTTAAATGATATCTGAGAAATAACTTTGCCAGAGATGAAATTTTGAGTTGAAATAAAAAGAAGGAATGGTACAGGTTAGAGTGACTGGGTCAAAAAATATATATATATGATTGAAAGTGACTGTGTGTGTTTGTTGAGGTTGTTTGCAAATACTTTGCAAATACCTTCTAAAAGCATATGTTGGTACATTATAGATGTTTTAATTTGGTAATAAATATGATGATAAATATAAACATTCTTCTTTCAAACCAGTGAGAGAGAAAACACTAGCCTAGGCAAATAAATTATTAACATTCTCTATGTTTATTCATAGATTGGAAATGAAATCTAGGGGCTCCCCCCAGTATGATTTCATGATTTAGCATATACAAAGCTAACAATCTTTCTAAGCATAAAAAGGAAAAAATTTCTGTTTAAACATGAATCCAAAAAATTAAATGGCTTTCATCAGATCCCCAATGTGACAGTCTCTAAAAAGTGTGTAAGTTCAATGTCTATTTCTTGAATGATTTAACCATAGTCCTGAAAAAACAAAAAAAAAAAACAAAAAAAACAAAAAAACAAACCATAAAATTAGCTTCAGGAAGAAAAGCTGGTCATTGTCCACAAAGTGCTTCATTAGCAAATGGTGTCTATCATTGATGTCAGGGTTAAGAATATGAGCAAAAAAAATGAGTTGAAAATTCCTAGTACATAGTCTACCATAAGCTAGCTGCAAAACTTTTCTTAAGCTGTCACATGGATAGGTTTTCTACAATGCTATCAGGAATGCTGAATCATTCCTTTCTATGAGGATCTTTTTCAATTTTACTATTTTTTAAATTTCAAATACTTTTAAAGTAAAAAACAAAACAACCACAAACAAATTTAAATTCTAGGAGGTGTTTTTTTTTTTTATGTGTGTGTATTTTTAGTTTTTTTAAATTATTTTGGAACTATGACTCTTCCTCAAACACTATTTTGGCCTGAATGACAATCATAGTGCTGATTTACACACGTCCCAAACATATAATCAGCCAGGACCTGAACATAACTGGGCATGGGTGCCTCTCAGGTCACTGAAAAGCAAGCATTACTTGTGAAATTATAAAACCATGGTCAAGTATTCTAACAAGGATGTTGCTTTGTCCAGCTCCCCAAAGATAATTAAAAGGAGAACATTATGATGATGGCAGAAGTCATTCTTTTTTCATAACATTAGTACTTTTCTTTCAAGTCTGTTCTTTTGAGTCATGTAGACAGTAATGTAGGCACAGAGCAGAGCCCTAAATGATGTCAAGCCAGGTCAAAAGCAATCTAGACTCAGGGAAGAAATAACTAGAAAAAATTAATGAATTCATTATCTTGATTTTGCACATCTTCAGGCAAGCACTGCTCACTTGGCTTTATTATCGCAGCAGTAATCAGCCTGGGAAGAAGGGCAGCAACACTGCTGGGTACTGACTCTTGAAAATAAAATGACCTGTAAAGACTGAGCCAGGTTGTTACACTGCAAATTATCAACGTTCAACTTGGACTTAGTACTGTCATTTTCTGCCGACATTCCCCTAAACTGGACCAATGACTTTTAAATGAATCATATTTTTTGCAAGAGCCTAGAAATAAGCCAAAGATTTTATACTTGGCTTTAGAGAAAAAATGCAGCGTTGTTTACTATACGTACCCGTAAGTGAACAAAACTTCCCTTTTAAAAATCAGAGCACTCACAAAACATGTCTTTCAAAAATGGCTTCTATATGATTATCATCATTGGGATATTTTAGTTTGCCCAATTATTCTGGATTTACCTTTCAAGTAGGAAGAATTATTGAGACTGATTTAGCACATTTAAATAATACTTCTAATTAAAGTATACATTAAAAGAGTAAAAATAACAGGTCACCACATCAAACAATCAAATATAATGATTATTTTATTATTCTTAAATACATTTTTATGTAATTGCTTGACAGTTCATTCGGAATAAATAACCGAATCAATTTATGCTAAGTGCAACTCAAAATACTTATGTAAATGAGTTTCATTTGGTAAAAATAATCCTGATAAATTTTTTATCAGCCTCCTGCTAATATAGAACAAAATATGCCTCAAATTTTTAAAGAAAAAAATATATAACTGCTATTTGTATTATTCTTTATTAAGAAACTACAATTGTGCTATTCTCACAAAATGTTTTTTCTCATTTTTCCCATTATTGTTGATGACAATAATAAAGGTAGTGTTTCAATACCAGTCACTTCCTATACTTCCTAATTTTCTTCATCTTTCTCTGACACTAACCAATACTGACTAGTGAATGTTTGATAAAGGTGTCCCTTCTTTCAGTAGAAATTCATTCTTTAATGAAATATTTATTATACACTTACAGTGTGATAGACTTTGTGTTAAAGGATTTGGATGCAAAATAAATTAAGACAGTTTCCTTTCCTTAAGAGCTCATGGTCTAGTAAAGGCAAAAGACAATTGCATAATGGACTACTATGCAGAGTAAGTGAAATGACACAGAAATACCCCCAGAAAGGTTGCTTAAATCAAGCAGGAAGATCAGTTAACAGTAATACTCCATTTCATTAAATTAAGTCTACCTCCTTTATCAAGGAGGTGATGGCTTACCACTGCCTGGTTTGCACTTCCTCACCTTGGCAAAGCAGTGTTGACAGGTTTAAACATCAAAACATCTCTGAGAATTACAATCACTATCCTGTTTCCTGACTTCACAAGGTTTAGCATCACTGAATTTAAACATATCTGACCTAATCTAACTTGGAAAATACCAGTGAGTCCAGCTGTTGTTAAGAACAGACATGTACATGGTAAGAAAAACATGAACTCAAATTTTACAGCCTGATACGTGAAAATCAGATTTTTAGTTGGTGTTTTTACTAATTGTTTATTTGTTCGCATTTAGGCATCAGAATAAAAATAAGACATGCCTGAAAGTGTATTTACCATACTGTGTACTGGATTAGAAGGCAATTTGATTAGATAGGTCATAAATCACGTCTTTAACTGTAGCCACATAAAACAGACACCCTTCAAAAAACTAAGTAAGAAAAACATTTTTGATAATAATACATGCCAAATTTAAAATTAACACCTAAAAGCCAATATGCACCTAAAAATAAAGACTCACAACAAAGAAAAGCAGTGTATACATCTAAATTTATAACCAGTGACTTGCTACCCATAGTGCTTCAGGAATCAGATAAAACAGACCGAGTTCCTTCAACAGTATGTATATTCTTATGAGCGCTTGATAGGAAATCAAAGCATATCCATTATTTTCTTCCAAACATTAGCCAGTCTTTAAGAGAAGCCAAACACCGAAAGACTCAAGAGGGCCAGTGGCATACCTGGCCCATTTGTGATATTCTGGTTTTATAAACCCAGTCATTTCAAACAGAAGAGGCTCATTTGATATGGCGGGCTACCCTTGCACTTGATATATACCATTCAGCCAATGTGTAGAGTTGTTCAGTTTTCCCTGGTCAGGGTGACCTTATCTGACTTGGGCATGGCTCTGCCTCACTCAGAGGTGAAATCGAGGCAGTGGGATCACCCAGCAGAGTTGTTTTTCTCAGGCAGCCCGAGGACATGAATAACTAAAGCCAAGGAGAAGGAAAACCGCCCAGACTTTGTCCCATGGGATTGGCGGAGAGTTCTAATCACAGTTCCCTCTTGCATCAAGGGGTGGTTACATTCACCAGGCTGAGGCACCATAGGTCCTGCATCCTGAAACCGTGGGTCCCTCAGCACGACCCTACTCATCACCTTTTGTGGATTACGGGATTGTCGCTGGAACCCGGGTTTGAAGTAACAGTTTTGGGAAGTTGGATTTACGCATTCCGACCCAGCTGTCGCCTTCGAGTGCTGAGACTTGAAGACTTCTGAATCTCCCTCCCCCACAGCCCGCACAGCCACCGCCTCTCAAATTCCAGCTTATACATTCATTTCCCGGGCAATTTTTCTCTTGGGGGGAAAACAATGGACTCTTTCAGTCTTCTCTTATCAACAAAGGGCTCTAAGACGAAGAAACCTCCCTTTCAACCGCATCCTTTCCGACTTTTTACCAGTGAAGAGTGGGCGTTGGGGGTGGAGGACGGAGGCCGCGGAGGGATGAGGTGACAGGCAACTCACCTCTTTCAGCTGCTCCAGCTCCTGTTTGAGGCTGTCGTACTCAGCCTCCAGCTCGTCATACTGCTGTTTGAGGGTCAGCTTCTCTTCCAGTACCACCAGCCCGTACTCTGCAGCCTGGATCTTCTCGTGGGTCGTCTCCGTGAGCTCCTTGGTCAGCCTCTCTATCTCAGTCTTATAATGGTCCACAGTCTGCAATACCTCTTCTGCGGCCATAGCCCCGGCGGATGGAGGCAGGAGGGGGTGTCGGGGTGGGGAGATGGATGCAAAGCAGGCGGGGGAAGGGTAAAAATGGAAAAGAAAAGTGTGGCTGGATGAATGAGCAGAGCGCGGCGCTGACTGCCGCTCCGGCGGCAGCGGCTACACTGCCGGAGAAACTGAGGAGAAATGCAACATGGAGAACGCAGGGAGAGGATCAGGGGCGAGGCGCCAGCCGCTGCCGCATGAGTCCTCTGGGCCGGCCCCTGCGTGCGGTCAGCAGCCGTGTGGCATGGCCTGGGCTGCGGCTGCCGGGGACGACGAGGGGCTCCGGATTCTGCTTATTCAGAGGCGCCCGGCCGCCATGTCTCCCGGGCAGCGTCACTGCAGTCTCCCCGGGGCCTGGCGCGCTCGGGCTCGCGTCTCGTCGCTCGCTCCACCTGCTCCCTCTGGCAGTGCTGCAGCCGGTGCGGAATGATGCAGTCTCGGCCCGCTCCCTCCCTTCGCGCCTGGCCCCGGCTCCGAGCAGGGGGCGGGGAGGCGGATGGAGTCAGCGCGGGGGGAGGGAAGGAACCGACGGAAACATCCCGAGGCGCCTCCCGCCGGGCGCGAGGGGCCGCCACAGCCGTCTGCACCGGGGGGCGCGCAGGCGGGAGGCCGAGGCGGAGGCGGCGGGACGCGCGCTGGGGGAACCTCCGCCCCGCCCGGCGGGCCGCCGACGCGAGTTCCTCCCAGGATTCTGACCCGCGGACACCGAAGCCCCCCCCGGAGTGGCGGGGACGCCCCTGCTCTGCCGCTGCGACGGGAGCCCGAGCTCAGGAACCGCCTGGAATCGACGCCTTTCCCAGGGAAAAGCAAACAGTAACTAACGCGCTCGGGGTCCCGCGTATCCTTCTCGCCCCCTGGGCTCCCAGCCTCTTCCAGCCTCCAGCACCCAAATCAGCGCTGCGCTTCCAAAGCCTGCCAGACCCACCCCACTGCGCGCTCTTCCCTCCCTCCCCCCTACCTTCTGCCTCCCCTCCCTTCCCCTGGCTAGCTTGGCCTGGTTATAACCTTATTACCCCTCAGGACAGTCTCCACTAAAGTTGCTTGCCTTCGCACAGCGGTCTGTGCCCAGCTTGCCTGCCACAGGACAGGGATCTGCTCCGAAAAATGCATACACCCAGTAAGCCTTTAGGTACTTCTTGCCTCAGTCGTGCTACTCTACTCGTTCTTCAGTAAAGGAAAACTGCATGAAATTCCCTATATTGGTATCAAGGATTCCTTCCCTACAATAAACATTTTTAAAATAATAAGAGCTAATAGTTCTTGAGACCACATGCCAGCCATTCTTCTGAGTATGGTATATGCATTCTCTCTAGTCCTAATGACCACTCTTGGAAGTAGGAACCATTATCCCCAACTTAAAAGTGGTGAAAGAAAGGCGCAGGAAATTGAGGGATTTGTCCAAATCAGGCAACTCTTCAGTGGTGAAGCCAAAATTTAATCCTAACTCCAGAACCCCAAACTGGATTATATTGGCCTCACCACTCATTAATAATACACACCCGGCAACTAAATATTATATGCTGGTAAAATGACCACTTTGATCAATATGAAGAGTCACAAAAGGAGAGGAAGGCAAAGTCAGAGTGAAAGACCAAAAATGGAGAAGAGATCAGAATGGCTAACCTAGAGGAAAGGGAGAATAGGAGCAGAAAAGGAGTGATTTCTGTGGAAATGGAAGGGAGGCTCTGGGACCAATACACCAAAGGTCTTACCAGTTTCTTCCTTCTCTTCTATTGGGGGCCACTATTTAGAGAGCTGTTTCTCAGTGGCCAGGAGGTGATCAACACACACACACACACACACACACACACACACACACACACACTTTTTGATTTAGAAAGCAGGACTCAACACTCCCCTTCCTTTTGTAGATGGTAAAGAAACAAAGACAGTTGCTGATGGTGTGGGAGGAAGAGCAAATAATGCTCTTACAAAGCCTTGACTAATAGGCAGTCTGGATGTGATTTTCACTGCCTCCAAAAACAGACAAAAAAAAAGATTCCTTCCAGATGCTGACAATTACAACAGAATATTCTCTTGTGATTATCTGACCTATAATTAATTAATTAATTAAATGGAGAAAATACTTGAAACATGCTCCTAACCATACATTCCAACCTGGCAGAGAAGCAGGGGAGATAATGACCACATCATTTCCACTTATACTGCCTTGATGTCCAGTCCAGTTGCGAAGCTCCTCCTGGGCGCCCCACAATGAAGAATGATCATGACCTGCTGAGAGAAGAGATAAAAGCTATAATTGTGGGTAGCCAAACTGCCTTCTTCCCAGTATGCCCCCTGGCCTTTCCTCACTCCACAAAGTATAAGCAGAGCCCTTCCGAAGGAATCTAACACTTGGGGGAGATTGCCTGTTACTCCCTTTCCTTTGGATATTACTGAGAATGGAGTTTGCCTCTGCAACTTTCCTTCTTGCCCCATTTTCCTGATTCATCTACTTTAGTTAATGTATTCAGTCTGACTTCATTCAGACATTACACTATTTTAACATTACAAGATTTTGCTTATAACAACTTTGATCCTTTATATATTGGTATTTAACTTGAAGAAAATTAACTTATTCCCTTACATACCATACTCTCCCAGAGCTGCACAGTTACATTTCTCTCCATATATATGTCATACACACCATGTATATATAGGTACACACATAGATATAGATAGATGTATATATAGATCACTGATAAGTATCTAGAAAAGACATTTTTTTAAATATTTATTTATTTGAGAGAGAGAGAGGGAGACAGAGAGAGGGAGGGAACACAAGCAGGGAAAGTGGGGAAGGAGAAGCAGGCTTCCCACTGAGCTGGGAGCCTGGTACTGGGCTCCATCCCAGAACCCTGGGATAATGACCTGAGCCAGAGGCAGATGCTTAATGTCTGAGCCACCCAGGTGCCCTAGAAAAGAATTTCTTAAACCATTCCTGGAAGTAGTGTTCCCTCATATTTCTTTAAATTAGCAGCCTCTGATTACTTAGGAAACCTTCTTACTTACAAATATTTAGAAAAAAATTAGGGGTGCCTGGCTAGTTCAGTCAGAAGAGAGTGCAATTCTTGATCTCGGGGCCATAAGTTCGAGCCCCACAATGGATGTAGAGAATAAATGATATTTTTTAAAAACACAAATATTTAGGAAAAATTATATCTTGTGACTTAGTACCTCAAACCAACCACTCACCAACTTTTCATGAATATTGTTTTCCCTTGTTCTCATTCATTCATTCATTCTTTAAACAGATATTTATTAAGTGCCCTTTATGTCCTAGGAACAATAGTAGGCGTTGTGAAATCAATGACCAGTAAGATATCAGTGGTCAGTGGTCCTGACTTCATGGAGCTTGTGTTCTGAGAGGGACAAGCAAAAAACACATGACAAAACAGATTAAAAACAGACAACAACAGGGATGCATGGGTGGTTCAGTTGGTTAAGCCTCCAACTCTTGGTTTTGGCTCAGGTCATAATCTTGGGGTCATGAGATCAAGCCCGTGGGTTCTGCACCCAGCACAGAGTCTACTTGAGATTCTTTCCTCCTCCCTCTCCCTCCCCCTCTGTTCCTCCCCACCCCACCCCTACACACTGTCATGCTTCCTCTCTCTCTAAAATAAATAAAATCTTTTTTAAAAAAGATAAATACAAAAATTCCAGATTGTGGCACTGATAAGCAGGATACAGCATAGTGGTTAAGAGCAGAAGCTAATCCGTTTGGGTCAAATCCAACTTTACCTCTTACTAGCTATATGTGCCTCAGTTGCCTCATCCTTAAAGAGGGGACAATAATATAATTACTGATGAGATTATTGTGAATAGAGCAATATTTGACACCTAATAAGCAGCAAATGTATGTTTGTTTTTAAGTTTTTGGGAAAAAAAAAAGAAAAAGAAGATTGAGATAGAAAAAAAAGAAACAACAGAAAGATCAGTGGAGATCTCTCTGCAAAAGTGATATTTACCCTAGTATCTAAGGAATCTGAAGGAACTGGCTATGCTAACTGTGGAAGAGGGAAGGGCATGTGTAAAGGTCTAAGGCAGAAAAGAGTTTGGTGAGTACAAAGGATAAAAGTCAGAAGCTGAGGCTTATAAGCCAAGGGAAAATAGCCTGGGACTGCACTAGAAGGGCAATACAGAAGGGAAACTCAGATCATGCCAGCCGTACAGATTAGACCAATCTGGATGTTGAGCATCTGAAACCAATATAATATTATATGTCAATTATATCCCAATTAAAAAAAAAAAAAGAATATGGTCTTTCAAATTGCAAACATTTGCAGAGTTAAAAAACTTTCCCAGGCAAATAAGTTTCACACCACACAAGAACAAGAGGAAACAAAATACTTCTATTTTGCTTCTCAGCATGCTTTACAAGAAATTTTAAATAACCCTAACTGGATTAGCCTTAAAGGCAGAATAGCTGGTAGGTTGTAAACGGAGATTTTAAGGCTGCCAGAAAGGACTTTTTAAATCATCTGCTCTTCTTTCTAATCCCCCTCAAAAATGATGTCTGAAATTCCTTTGGTAATAAAGAAAGATGCCTATCATTTCATAATTAGAAGTAACTTAGAAATGCAAAAAATTATTAAACTTAAATTTGTACTTATATTTGCTTTATATTTTTTCCTGATTCTGAAAAGGAAATACCCAAAGGAAGGAACTGAATGGCTGAAGAAGTGGAGGCTGGGAACACCGCAGATAAACATTACCCAATTCACATCCGTGCCTAAGGCTGGTCTTGCCTCCAGTTCTTCAAGAATTGAACAAAATTTCTTAATATGCTTCTTTCTGCCAAAATATGTCCCCTTCTCTTGGTTTTTTGATAGCCCTAAAACTTATATAGAGATTCTTAACCTGTTCAGAAACATTCCTTTACCCAACAGGCAAAAAAAAAAAAAAAAAAAAGAGAGAGAGAGAGAGAGAGAGAGAAAGAGAAGAATAAGGAATTTGGGTTTTATTCTCAGTGGAATGGAAAACT